TGTCAGGCAGGAGATCTTCCTGCGATACGCCAAACTACTCTTCTGTACCGAGCTACCCTACAAGTGGCGAGCTGCCCAGGGGAGCTATGCCGAGCTCCTTGGGCTATGCCGAGCTGCTTGTGGCGAGCTTTGCCGAGCTGCCTGGCTCCTTGGTGACGAGCTCCTTGGAGAGTTGCCTAGCTCCTTGGCGAGCTCTTTGGTGAGCTACCGAGCTCCTTGGCGAGCTCCTTGGTGAGCTACCGAGCTCGCGGAGTATGCCGTTATGGTTCATCGGTGGGCGTCTTATGGGTTGCCAGGTCGGATCATGTGCCAGGCTGATCCGGCCAGGTCGCGCAGGCCGCGCCAGGCCGCGTGCAAGTCGCGCTAGGCCGCCAGACCGGTGCCCGGGTGGGACACCAACTTGGTAAATTGTTGCCTGGGTGTTTGCCTAGTTGTCACGAGGTGCCACGTGTCGCAATTTCACTGGAGGGCCAAATCTGCCCTCATCAACTTGGACATGCCAAACAAGGTCAAGTCGACCAATATTATGATTTCACATTTTCAACCATTAAGGACCATTATAGAGGTTTTGCACCCCAGATGGGCACCATCTTTTTACCTACATACTAGTACAACAAATAACGCAATTGGTCCCAACACTTGGAACTGTAAAACAAGGTTGGACTAGTCAAAACTATGATTTCATAGTTTTAATTGTTAAGGATTGTCATAGGGTTTTTGCCACCTATATGGGAACCCTCTTTTACCTACATATGTAAAAACAAATATAGCGGATAGCATAGTTGGTCTCGACATTTGGAACTGCAAAACAGAGCTAGGCCGACCAAAATTGTGATTTCATAGTTTCAACTGTTAAGGACTGCAATGGAGGTTTTGGCGTCTAGATGGACACCATATTTTACCTACGAATGTAGAAACTTGTATAACCGATAATGCAGTTGGTCTTGATATCGGGAACTACAAAACAGGTTCAAGCTAGCCAAAATTGTGATTTTGTAGTTTCAACCTTTAAGGAACCATTAGTGCTTGGATAGGCACCATCCTAAGGATAATGGATAACACAATTGGTCCTTACACTTGAAATGGCAAAATAGGGCCTGGCCGATCAAAATTATCATTTCATAATATCAGCTGTTAGGGACCATTATAGGGGTATAGATGTCTGAATGGGCACCATCTTTTACTTACGGATGTGGAAACTAGTATAATGGATAATTGTAGTCATTCTCAATACTTAGAACTACAAAACAGGGATGGGTTGGGGAAATTTATGATTTCATAGTTTCTACTATTAAGGACCATTATGGGGTTTTAACGCTTGGATGGACACAATCTTTTTTATCTACAAATGTATAAACTAGTATAATAGATAACACAGTTTGCTTCAACCCCTAGAACTACAAAATAGGATTAGATCGGGCAAAATTGTAATTTCAGAATAAGTAGTTTTAGTGCCCTAATAGGCACCATCTTTTACTTATGGATGTAAAAACCAGTAGAATAGACATCATTAGGTCTTTACACATGGAAATGCAAAACAGAGTTGGGGTGGCCAAAATTGTGATTCCACAATTGCGATTTCATAGTTTCAACCGTTATAGTGGTTTTGACAGCTGGTTAGGCATTGTACTTTAGAGGTGAATGTGGAAACTAGTTTGATGGATGAAAGAATTGTTCTCAAGACTTTGACACATCAAGAAAGGCTAAGCCAACCAAAATTGCAATTTAACACTTTCGACCATTAAGGTAGCTTCACGAGCTAGATGGCTACTATCCTTTAGGAGTTGATGTACACTCAAAGATGATAGAATTGGTCTCAGCAGCTGCAAAAGACAAGGAAGACCGACACCTCTAATACTACAATGTTATAGTTTTGTGTGTTAATCATCATTATGGGGTTTTAGGCTTCTAGCGGCCAGGCCAGATTGACATAGTCTTTTAGTAGTGGATATGGAAACCCATTTAACAGATGGAAGAATTTGGTCTTAACCCAAAGCTAGGGCGGCCAAAATTACAAATTCAAACAGACCATTACTTTGGTTCCAACGATCAAATGGGCACAATTCCAGCCAAAATTGCAATTTTATTTTAATCGAGAATGAATAAGAAATTTTGGTTTCAAATTCGATTTTTCCTTTCGGGCTGTGTTTAGTTTGAAATAAAAGGTGGGGAAAGGAAAGATGGGAAAACCTTAACAAACCTAGTTTGCCTACCTTTCCCTACTTTTTTCTTTCAAACCAAACACAACCTTACAGAGTTTGGTTAATTCGGTTCGAATTTAAACCGAATGCTATTTTCGAATCAAAATTTCCAAAAACCGAAACCGAAACGCACTTTTGGTTTTCCGGTTCGGTTTTTTGGTTTTTAACCAAATGATGTTTTCCAAACCCGAAAAGGCCGAAACCTCTTCTCCACAGTCCACACTCTTTCCGTGGTCCGTTCACGGGCTCAGTCGTCTCTGCGAAAAGGCAGAAAGAAACCGCGTGTGAGAGGGAGAGAAGCGAAATGGAGAGCAGCGAAGAAGAGGACGACTTCCCAACTCATGAGTGGATCACTCCACAGTCTAAAGTCGACGCTGTTTATCAATCAAACACAGAGAAGGTTCTTAAACCTTACTTTTATCAGTTTATCTTATTATTTTTCTCTTCCCCTTTACTTATTTGCATTTTAATGGTGTTAAGTCCCCCATTATTAAGATCAATCCTTGAATATAATGAAGAAATGGTGTTCATTTCGTCCCAATTTCTCCATTTCAAGTTCAACCCCCAAGAAGCTTGGTAATTGGGAATTTGGGAGCATTGTTCATCTACGCATTTTTTTTCTTGGATTTCATTGAAGTTCTTTTTTTTTTTTTTTTTAAGTTAAATATGTGAAAATCTTTTATTTATTTTATTTTTGCTTGGGGAGGGGTTGAATGGCTTGTGGAAGATTTTCTATAGTTAAAATTATATCTGTGAAAAATCTTGTCGTGGAATATTCTCCTTATAATTGACAGCACAGTGCGCATGGATCTTTTCTGTGAAACCAAAATGTGGGTTTCCTTGACATAAGTGGAAAAGAAGGGTGTAAATGTTAATAGAAGCTTCATTGGACAAAGCAAGTCAAATTAGCACTTTGGAACTATAGACACACTTTTAGGGAAATTAATATCATTGTAAAGCAAATAAATTCTAGTTTCAGCTGGGTGAGAAGAACTGCAAATGGGGTGGCAGATGTTCTAGCTAAGCAGGGAGTTGACAGACCTAACTTATTCTGGGAATAAATGTAAACCCATGTGTCCAGGGTGTGTTGGGAATCTCCAACAGTTGTTTTAAGTTTTAATTTATCAATGAAATCCTTTTTCTAATAAAAAAAGTTTATAGAAGCTTCAATAGTCTGCTGTTCTCTCAGTTGGGGTTTGCTGCTTTTATTTATGTTTTGCGTTTTCTAATTTTATATTTTTATTTTATATTTTTTTGGTTATGGAAACAAGTGGTTGTTTATTCCTTAATTTGATGCCAATAGGTTAGAATAGTGGAGTTTGGTGCTCTTTAAACTACTAAATACATCCATGAAAGTAGCTTTAAGGTTACATTCATTACAAGGGATAAAGTTGGGCCATTAGGTCCACCATCAATTATATACTTGTATATTTTGGTTCAGGTGCTTAGCTATTGTTTATTTTTTGTTGTATCTATAATAAAAATTTACTTTTGGAAGGAATCCAGTGTTTTAAAAGTGAAAGGCGCAAAAAAAGCGCAAGGACTATTTTGCGTACGAGGCGCAAGGCGCAAGGTGAGGTGCATTACCCTTTTGAAGCAAGGCACAAAAATGCAAAGAAATTCTAAAACTAAAAAAATGCCAACAAAATTAAAATAATCCAAAAAATTCAAAAAACGCAAATTATTGAAATATTAAACAAATTATCAATTAAAAATATAAACTTAAATTTTAAAATAAATGCTTTACAAACCTATTATCTCAAATTAAGATACATAAACATAACATGTAAAACATATTTAAAATGAAAGTTTAAAAATAAAATCTAACATAACATATAAAACATATTCAAGCATGTAAACTCTTAATCTCTTTATTTTTTCCCAATTGCATTACTTCAAATAGCTAATATGGTGTTAAACATTATGCATTCTTGATTCTACGAGCCGCCTTTGTACCAAGCCCCTTGAAAATACTCTGCTTGAGACCTAGGTGATGTGCATACCCTAAAACGTGCCTCGCCTCTGTGTCTAAGCACACCTTTGATCTTGAAAGAAAAATATGGAAATGGTATTCATAAGGTAAAATCTAGTTCTGGGAGAGATTGTTGATATCTCTTTTTTTTCATGATGATATGATGTTGTGGACCTAAAGAGGAATGCAGGAAAATCATCTCTGATCTGGACAGGGAGGAAGAAACAGTACCCCTCGATGAGGGAAAGAAAAGACAAAGATTTTTGGCCAAGGAGTATGACAGTTTAGCCTATCAAGACGAAATCCATTGGAGGCATTTCTCCCGAGTACAACAACTTAAGGAAGGGGATAATAATTCTTCTTTCTTTCACAAGGTAGCAAATGAAAGGAGGATAACCACAATCAAGAAGTTAAGTGTCCAAGGAAGACTGATTGAAAGGGAATATGAACTAGAGAAGTCAATTATTGGCTATTACAAGAAGCTTTATGTGAACTCAGGCCAAAGTTAGATGGCCTACAGTTTAACAGAGCCTCTGAGGCCTTTTATAGAAAAGGAAGTCAAATCAGTCCTGGATGAAATGGAGGGGGATAAAGCCCTTGGGCCAGATGGTTTTACAATTCTTTTTTCAAGAAATTTTTGGAGCTAGTTGCACAATTCCATTCTTCAGCTGCCCTGGAAAGGAGCCTTAATGCCACTTTTATCTCTCTAAATCCAAAGAAGAAAGGTGCTTCGGAGCTGAAGGGTTTCAGGCCAATTAGTTTAATTGGGAGCTTCTACAAAATCATAGCAAAGTTGTTGGCTGCAAGACCGAGGGTAGATGAGTTCAATTATCTCAATATCATAAGGGGCTTTTATCCATAATAAATACACCCAAGATGGGGTTTTGATAGCAAATGATAGACTCAAGGAGAACTAGTGCAAGAAGGGTCTTGTTTGTAAAGTTGATCTTGAGAAAGCCTATGACCTTGTAAACTTCGCCTTCCTAGATTACATGTTGACCAGGATGCACTCGGGCAAAAATGGAGGAGGATGAAGGTTTGTGTGACTACACCCAGATTTTCCATTTTATTAAATGGTCCTGCCAAAGGAAATTTTAAGAGCTCTAGGGGACTGAGGCAAGGAGACCTCTTTTCACCACTCTTATTTCTAATTTGTGATGGAAGGCTTAAATAAGATGTTTGGGGGGCTCCTCTGTCAACACCTCAGGTGAGGGAGTTCCCCTGCACCAATTTGCCGATGATATTATTTGTTCTCATGCTAAAGTTGAACAAGTGTTACATCCGAGATATTCGTTAGTTTGGTTTGAGGTGGTTACAGGACTGAAGATCAACCTTGCTAAAAGTGGGATGATGGTGGTAGGGGAGGTGGAAAATCTTCATAAGCTGGCTGATTTCTTGGGTTGTGAATCTGGTTCCCTACCTTGTAAGTATTTTACCTTTGGGGGCCAAATGCACCTCAAAAAGCATATGGACTCCAGTGGTGGAGAAGGTTTGGCTTCTTGGAAAGCAAAGTACCTTTCAAAAGGGGGTAAATTGACCTTGATTAAGAGAGTATCTCAGTGTACTTTATGCCCCCTTTCTTGTGGGCCAGCTGGAAGAACTCCCAGAAATATCATTTGGTGAATTGGGATCAGATTTGCAAACCTTTTAAAGAGGGTGGGCTGGGGTATTAGGAAGCTAAAGCCTTTTAACATGGCACTCCTAGGCAGGTGGCTATGGAGATTTTTTGATGAGCCAAATGAATTGTGGAGGTCTATTATTGCACAGAAATATGGTCTTCGCATTAATGGGTGGGTTGCAGCTAACTCTGATTGTCCTTATGGCTGTGGTGTTTGGAGGGGAATCTACAAAGCTTATCCTTTTTTTATTAATGGGATTAAGCACAAGTCAGGGTGGGAGATAGGCTAAAGTTTCGGAAAGATAATTGGCATACAGATTGTTTAAGGCATTTTTTTAATGCAAATAATATTTAGTAATTTAATAACCCAAATAAGTGGGCTAGCTGGTCTGCTAGCCAAAATATCAAAACTATAAAAAATTGTCCCGTATGAGAGTTCCCTCTCTTTAAGTGGGAGGGACAGGTGCCCCTCATCTAGGAGGAGGAGGTAGTTACATAGCTACCCCACTCCCTATTTAAGCTCCTTAAGGAAGCTAGAAGGGGATTTCTTCGGAGAAAATTGCCACAAGAGATTCTTAAGGAAAGCAAAGATAAAGAGAGAAGAAAAGAGAAGTGCTCAAGGGAATGTAGGGAAGGAAAAGAAGTCTCACTAATACAGGTAGGAAAAGGAAAGTCCTCTTGGCAAATACTTCCTATATATGTCTTCTGCTAGGTATCATTCTTTCTCTCTCTTTTATTTTCAGTTTTGAGAAAGGAAATAGATGGAAATAAATCATCTACGACCAGGTGCCTCTACTTGGTTGACTATGGTCCCTCTTCCAAGACAAAACTTGGGATTAAACCATCTACAGTCTAATTCTCAAAGGCTGATTATGGTTCCCTTCAAATGAAAATGAAGAACAGGGGAATAAAATCTTCTACAATCAAATATGCAATTTGATTGACTACGGCTCCCTTCTTGTATGCAAAAATCCAAAGGATTAAGGCTGTCTACAATTGTAATTTCATTTGATTGACTACAACTTATTGTGAAGAAAGGAGCGAGAAGGAAATCTTCTTTGTATCAAAAAGAAAAGAGAGAAATTTATTGTTGTAGAGTTTTTTTTTCTTCTCATTCTTGTACACTTGATGTAAAAGAAATGAAAAGTTCTTTTAAAGTAGTACTATATTGTTCTTATCTTTTGTTCTGTGCATTCATTTCTCCAAGTCAGAATCAAAAGGTGTTCTCTACTTTCTTGTAGAGATGTAATTAAGGGGAACAATCCGTATGATTCCCTGAATGGGCCTTACCCAAAATAATAAAAACTCAATCACTTGATTGAGTGAATTATGTTGTGTGAGAATTTATTAAACTTTTCACACCAACACAGATCAACCTCTTTTAGAAGTCTATCCAGATTTGTTTTCACTGGCATGGGACAAAGAGGTTTCGGTGGCAACCTCCTATGTCATCCATGGTGACTCTATGATTTGGGCTCCTTTTAGAAGAAATTTTAATGATCATTAAATCTCTCAAGTCTCTGACTTGCTAGCCTTATTGCAAAATTCAAAAAATCCTCCACTTCCGGATCGAAGGGTATGGCTGTGGTCTAACAATGGGAGTTTCTCTGTTAAATCATTTTACTTTGGTCTGATGTCAGAATCCAGCAACAGTTTCCCTATTAAAGCCATTTGGAGTGGGAGTGCCCCATCGAAAATCAAGTTTTCTCTTGGTTGGCGGTGGAAGAAGGATTCCTTACAAAGGAGATGCTGGCCAGGAAGGGGCTGGTGTTACCTAATAACCTATGTGTTCTGTGTAACCAAGAGTTGGAGACTCCAAATCACTTATTTATCCACTGCATGTTCTGAGGCAGAGTATGGTCTCATTTTCTTAAAGCAATATTCCTCCAAGTATGCTTCCCTGCCTTTGTCAAGTCCCTTTTTGAAGGCTGGAATATTGGAGGTATGTCAAAAAATGGAAAAATCCTTTGGTCGGCCATCCCTCTGGCTGTAATTTGGGTCAATTGGACTGAGAGGAATAGGAGGATTTTTGAACAAAAGCAAAATCAAGAAGAGGTCCTGATCAATCAAATTTTTGGTAACCTTAGGGGATGGCTGAGCATCAATCCTTTGTTCAAGGATTATCTTCTGTCTTTTTCTTTTTTGGCTGTTGATTTTTTTGGGAGTTTTTAATGGTGTTCATATGTACAGAAGCTTCTTGTACAGTGCACTAACATGCTGTATACTTTCTTTTGATCATAGTGGTACAATTTTACATTGCCTTCTCAAAAAAAAAAAGGACAGAACTAACTACATGTGAAATCTAGGTATGAGTTATGATAGGAATGAAGTTGCCTGTAGATAGCCAGCTTATTATTGGTTGAGAAAAAGAACAACAGAATTTCTTAAGTAGTTTTGTTATCGAAATGACAAAATCTTTGCTACGTCATGTTGCATGGAAGAGAAAAAAAAAGAACTGGTGTAATAAAAGCTTTGTATGAGTGTTTTAGAGGCTATTACCTATATTACCAACTAGAAGGGAGGTATAAGTATACACATATTAATGGGGACATGTAACTAACAATGCCATTCTAGATCGATATGACTGTGTAACCCATTTTAGATTGATAGGTCTATATGTATAGATTTACTTTAGGGCTCCTTATCCTTGTGTTATTTATGTGCATTTCCTATGAATAGAAGAGGTTATGAAGATCATGTCATTCTTTTTTTTTTTTTTTCTAAAAATCGGGTTGATTCGTCACTTTACCATTTACTGATTTAATTTGTGCTTGATAGTTTATTATTAACATGCAATTATATAATACTTATGTGTGGTTTATACTCACGCCATATAATATGTATATATTTATTTATTCAACTTTGTTGCCTTGGTGATGTCTAATTCTTGCCTAGGCATTGACTTACCCTGGAAAGCCAAAACACTTGGGTGTTACTTGGCTGCTTTAACTACATCTTAGGGAGCTATGGTTTAATGACAGGTTTTAGTAAAATATTGTTGTATTTATAGTATAATAACTGCCTGATATTATTCTTCAGTAGAAACTTAGCAACTTGAATTTGAATTATGCTAAATATCTCCAAGAAATATGTTGCTAATATGTTTCAAGTTCCCCAAAGGACTAAAGACATGCATCTACATGTTAAATACTTCTTGCATGTCCTAGCCCTGTAGACAACTGCTATAATGTATATGATATATGCCAATTGCTGAGGCAAAGACAGCACTGCTGTTTTCTCGAATAGTTTGTTCATTTGTTGATCTCTTCTATACTTTTGAAGCCATTTGTTGAAAGCTTCATCATTGCCTTCTTAGGGAGCTTTTGTAGCAGCCTTTGTAAGTGATTATATTTCATGGACACTTCAAAATGGGTTCCATTTCTGTTTTGGATACGATGATTTTTGGTGTAAATTCTATGTCCAACACCTTGTCCATATTATGTCCTTACTGTAACATAGGTAATTGGGCTTTTATATATTGTGAAGACAGCTAGATTTTATTAACCGTAAGTAACTTTGTTTTGCAGGGAATCAGGAAACTTTGCTGTGAGCTTTTGGACCTAAAAGATGCAGTTGAAAATTTATGTGGCAATATGCACTCAAAATATTTGGCCTTCCTCAGGTAATGATTTTTACAGTTTCCATCTTCCTTTTTTTTGATGAATGAATGCTATTTTTATTAAAAAGAGTAAGAAAGAGTACAATCACCCCAGGAAGAGGCACAATATGTTACCTTACCATAGGGATGAATCCAAAAACCAAACTCTTATCAGAATATAATTTATAAGGTATCCCAATACAAAGAAAACCAAGAAGCCCCTAGTTTAGCTAGAGAATCTGCCAAGGTGTTTTCCGATCTGCTAACCCACTGAAATCTGACTGGCATATTCCTTGTAAGCCATTTAACTTTTTAAGAAGATCTCTATAGCCCAAATAACAGTATTTGGATTCAACAACCAACCCACTATGACCTTAAAGTCTCCCTCAACTATCAAATTCTCCACTCCGAGTTGGTTGGCAATCTATAATCCTTGTATAACAGCTAGTATCTCAACCCTTGTAGAGTCTCCAACTCCCACTGGACCTGAAAATAAGGAAAGAATGTTGCTATCCTTATCCCTCAAGATCCCTTCTATACCCGAAGGTCCTAGGTTGCCTTGACTACTCCAATCAAGGGTTAGCTTTACAACACCCTCCAGAGAAGATTCCTTCTATTCTTCTTGAAGTCTGTGGAAGCCACCGCTGCCGAAGCCCAACTCCTTTGAAGATCATCACAGGAATAATTCACAAAGAGATGAAGTTTTCAACCAAAGAATTGCCCTTGTCAAGATACGCTCCATTACTACAATAGGGCTTCTTTCCTTTTCTTGGAATATTTTGACATTTCTTTCCTCTCAAGTAATCCATAAAAAGCTTCTTTGATGCATTTCCACATAAGCTTCCCTGTCTTCATTGGCCACCCAAAAATAGACATATCAAAAATCATATTTACTTTAGAAGGCAAGTTTCACATGCACCAAACAACGTAAAAACCCAATTCCAAATATCTGCAACAAAAAAGCAAGATATCAGTAAATGGTAACAATCCTCATTCTGCATGTACACCAGTTTGGGGACAAACACAAATAAGGTCTCTTCTTTTGCAGGTTATCTAAAGCATTAATTTTACCATAATAAACTTCACAGTAAAAAACAACTATTTTAGGGGGAATAGGCCTTAACCAAGTTTCTTTGGCTAGGAACACCCAAGGGGACAAGGGGATAGAGTAGAGCAAAGGGACTTGAAGGAAGCACAAGTAAAGGAGCTACTCAAAACCAAAGTCCAATTTTTTCTATACGGTTTAAGGGGGTCCAGACAAACAGAATCTAGTAGAAGTAAAAGCTCAAAGATGCAAGCAAGTTCCTCATCCCTCAAACCTCTTTGAAACCCAAAATCCCAATTTAGAGACAATGGGAGAACCGGGGGAGAAAGGAACCTAGAAACAAACTCCTTTTTATATAGGAAATAGACTAAAGGGAGGGGAAAAGTTTCTTTCAGAGGAGTGCCCACCCAAACATCTTCCCAAAAGAGAACAGATTTACCAGAGCAAACATCATACCTTACCAACTTGAGGAATTTAGGGAGGATGCCAAAAATTTCCTTCCAAGGTGTTGTGAGTAAAGCCTGTTGAGATACCCCAACATCCCAACTAGTTTCATAACAGCCATGGATACTAGCTGCCACCTCATGCCACAACCTCTTTCTTTCCAAAGGCCACCTCTATAGCCATTTTCTTAATAGAGCTTCATTCTTATTAACTTGGCTCTCTAACCCTAAACCCCCTTCTTCCTTATTTCAAGTCACAACCTCCCATCTAATCAAGCAATCCTTTTACTCTTCCCTCGATTCCCACAAGAAGTTTGTCATCAATTTTTCTATTCTCTTACCTTCCCTAGAAGGTATCCTAAAGATGGACAGAAAATAAATTGGTAGGTTGGTAAGTGTGGACCTGATTAAAGTTACTCTGCTCCCCAAAGAAATATAGTTCTTTTTCCAAGCCACGAACCCTTTTTCAAACTTTTCCACCACTGGATTCCAAAACTGACTCTCCTTTGGGTTAGCACCTAAGGGAAGTCCTAAATAAGTCAAGGGCCACTCAGAAATAGTGCACTCTTAACAGGCAATGATAGACTCCATCTCCCTTCCTTTCAGGTTTAGCCCCACCACACAACTCTTCTCAAAATTGATTTTCAAATTAGAGGCACTTTCAAAGAGAAGTATTAGATTCTTCAAATTTCTCACCCTCAACAAATCATATACCTCGCAAAATATTATAATATCATCTACAAATTGAAGGTGAGTTACCGGGATTTGGTTTCTTCCTATTCTCTACCCGCTAATTGACCCAGCCCTATATGTTTCTGATAAAAGTCTACTAAGCAACAACAATCGGTATGAATAGGAATGGGGACAATGGATCACCTTGTCTTAGGCCCCTATAGGCTAGGAAGAAATCATGTACTACCCCATTGACTAAAACCAAGTAATGGCAAGATGTAAGGCATCCACTTATCCAATTGCACCATCTATCCCTGAACCCACACTTCCATAGCACCATCATAGGCCTTTTCAAGGTCCAATTTGCAAACAAAGCCTTGATTACCAAATCTTCTCATTTCGTCCACACATTCATTTGCTATTAAAATTTGATTATTTATTTGTCTACCATGAACAAAAGCACCTTAAGCTTGACTAGTGAGGGAGGGAAGTACTTTTTTGATCCTCAAAGACAAGACTTTAGCCAAAATCTTATAGATGCTAGTTACCAGATTGATTCATCTAAAACTTTTAGGATGCTTGTCCTCTTTCTTCTTTGGAACCAGGACTAGAAATGTAGCATTAACTCCACGACTAGTGACAAACCTATCGTCAAACTCTTTGAAGACCTTGAGAAAATCTTCTTTAACTATATTCCAACAATCTTGGAAGAAAACCATGGCAAAACCATATGGTCTTGGTGCCTTGGATCTATCCATTGAAAAAATTGCTTGCCGGATTTCATCTTTAAAATTCCTTTCCAACTAGCCTTTATTTTCTTCAAAAGGTCTCGGCCAATCCAAACCAGCCAGCTCCACTCTACTTTCTAGAGGTTTCCTCAAAACAAATTTGAAATGAGCTATAAAGTAGTTGGCTATCTCCTCTTGGGAGTCAGGTTCCATTCCATCCACTTCAAGTTTGGTCACTGAGTTTTTCCATTCCATTGGCTACTTCATTCCATCACCTTCCTTGATCCATTTGTACCTAGATTTTTGCCTCCAAGAGAATTCTTCTTGTAAAAGGGCCTTTTCTAGTTCCTTCTTCAACCTCCATCTTAATTCTCTTTCTTGTACATTCATGATTCTTTGGGATTCCTTCACATCTAGTTCCTCTATCTGGTTCATCAAAGTGAATTTCAGTTCCTCTAGAACTGATAAAAGAAATCTATCTTTACAAGTAATCATCCTATTGATTTTTTTGATAAATGGTAATCATCCTATTGATAAATACTCAATGATTTCTTAAGCAGATTGGTTTTGAGGGAAGTCGTTTTTCAGGATTCTGTTTTGAATTTTATTGTTAGGGTGGTCATCTCTATCTGGTTGGTGACCGCTGGTCACCTCCCCTGTAAAAAATATATATTTATAACATTTTTTATGGGTGTAATAAAAATGTAACAGAGGCATGGTCAATAGGAACTTGATGTTACTTTTAAGTTATAACTTGGACCATATTGGAATTCAGATCAGATCCTCTATTGGGATTCTGGATCATCTCGTACCCTCCCAAAAGGGGTAAATAGGCAACAATTATTTTGGGCACAATTATAACATTTGTACCTTGTGGGGATTGATCGGACTTATTGTACTATCAAAATTTAGTACACTTTAATAAAATTCTCAGTTCTTTTTGCTGATCAAAAAATCATCTTGTACCCTCCCCAAGCTTTTCATTCATTTGGTATTTCCTTTTACACCTATCCCCTTTACCCTTGTTTTCAAGATTCCTTCATTTTGATTTTTTTCCTCTTTCCTTCTTGACTGTGATCACTTTTTTTTTTGTTTTTTTATCAGCAAGGAAAATTAACTTTATTAATAAGAGAGAAATCAAGTTACAGAATTACAGTATATCACAAGTTATCAATGAAGTGCAAAAAAGAGACTACAATGATGCCCAAAACAACTTTTTTTTTCTTGACTGTGATTGCTTCCTTTTTAGTTCTAATGGCTTTCCATCTGTTCATAGAAGAAAAAATATTTCAATTTGGCCATCTTTCATTTTTATGGGAATGAGATTGTCAAAATCTTGGAATTTGGTAGAGGGAATGCTTTCCTTGCTAGAGGGTGGTGAAATGGTTTTCCAGATTTGTGGAGGCCATCCCTGTTAACAAGATTAGAAAATGGAGCAAACATTCTGGGCACTTTTATTTCGTTAAGAGTAGTCAGTAGATTACATGATAGGTTGGCTATCTAGTGCAGATGGATTTTCTCAGGAAGGGTAAACAAAAACACATGCATATTAGAAGGAATGACAGACTGATAGTGGTGGTGGGATCAGATAGATGATAACAAACATCCAGCCAAACCAATACAATTAGTGTTTTAAAGGTGAGAGCTGTAACAAAAGCGCAAGGCAGTTTTGCATGGACTCTCTTAAATGGACAATGTGTTCGTGTGGAATATGCATTAGAGTCTAACGCTTCATAGATTCATGAGGGCATTCTACTTGGCATTTCCTTTCTATTTCCTAGCTTATTCGGCATAAGTGAACATCTAATTCATAAGATGAATGCCATTTTTTATATCAAACTTTATTTAGTAACACATGCAGTAGATCTATTTCATCTGAGTTTTCTGATAAAGTTATGCTCTGGCATGTTTGTGTGGGTCATTTTTCATTTCATTCCTTGCTTCATTTGTTTCCTTCTTTGTTTTTTTCCCATTCAGATGTTGAGGTTGCAGTCTGAAAGTTGCTAGTTGGCTAAACATTGTCTAGTGATAAAATATCTGCTTCTCCATTTGAAATTGTTTGTTTTGATGTATGGGGGCCTTAGCAGCCTAATGTGGGTGGTTATAGATATCTCTTGCTTTTTGATGATGGTTATA